GGGTAGAAGGACAAAGATTACATGGGAAAGTAGGAATTACAGTCATGGGGAAGTAGGCAAGGTGGGCTGGGGTGGCAAAGGGCTCAAAAAGGGCAGGTGCCTCAGGGACCAGATTACAGACATTGCAGCTAGGGGTTGCAACGGGCAGGCACTCCAGGATTCCATTGTTTCGGGAACAAGGTTTTAATCTTTCTTTGATGATAGGCAGTTCTCAGAAAAGGAGAATGGACCACATTCCAAGGGTANTTTGATGATAGGCAGTTCTCAGAAAAGGAGAGTGGACCACATTCCAAGGGTAATTCCCAGGTCCGGGGGCATACAACTCCCAGCCAGGTTAGAAGGTGTTTTTTTAATTAAAACAGAACAAACACCGTTAACAGAACATGATTAATATTTCTTATAACTATAGCTAACAGAGTCAACAGAGCATGATCCACATCTCTCCCCCTAACAGGAGGAACTCGACCATGGGATCGTTGTGGAAAACAAGGGAGGATTGGAGAGGGAGGGAGGCTCTGAGCCAAACCCTGATCTACCCTCACAGAAAATCAGCAGAACAGGGCACCTCTGGGCAAACAGAGGGAGAACAGCTTATTCAGTATCCGGGAGATGACGAGAGAGAGCCAAGAGTCTCCAAGTTTTACTGCACACTCTGCACAAAGTATGGTTTATTTTAGTCATGTGCACATGTTTCTGTATACTTTTTAATTTTAAAAAGTATATAGAAAATGTTAACACTTTATAAAATGGTACCACTAGCATCCCATTTTTCTGAAGACAAATGTAGGCATAGAAAAGTCAATGGAAAAGAAAAATTAATGATAGTGACTCTCCAGGCAGAGGTATTACTGGACAGAGGTATTACTGTTTTCTTTGTGCTTTTCAGAATTTTCCAACTTTTCTATAAAGACGATGTATTACAATAAGATAATAAATATAATTTTGTGTGATGTTAAAAAAAAAATGCAGAAAGCATAGATTGCCCCCTAAAATACTCCTGTACCAGCCACATGAAGAAGCAAAACATTTGGTCCTAATTGGTTCTGATAATTTCTAATTTCCTTTTTTGTGAAAGAAAACAGTAGGGATGAAGTTGAAGCCCCTTTCCCAACCCCCTTTGTCCCGGAGCCCCAATTTCACTCCCCTGCTTGTCTCCCCAGAAAACAGCCACTGCCCTGAACCTGAAGTGAGGTCTGTTTCCTGTGTTTACATTTGACCACAGATATGTTAAGAGGAAGTCTGTATTTGTTCTGCTGGCAAAATAAGTAACCAGGCTTTTTTTTTTTTTTTAGTTAATCCTTACCCAAAGGATATTTTTTTTCCTTTGGTTTTTAGAGAGAGCAGAAGGAAGGGCGGGAGGGGGAGAAAGAGAGAGAGAAACATCCAAGTGAGAGAGACACATCAATTGGTTGCCTCCCGTACACACCCCGACTGAGGCTGGGGATGGAACCTGCAACCCCGGTATGTGCCCTTGACCAGGAATCAAATCCGAGACCCCTGGGTGCGTGGGCCAGCGCTCTAACCATTGTGCCACACTGGCCAGGGCAACTGACAGGGCTTTTTAAAATATATATGTATTTTTATTGATTTCAGAGAGAAAAAGGGAAAGGGAGAGAGAGAGAGAAACATCAATGATGGGAGAGTCGTCATTGATCGGCTGCCTCCTGCACGCCCCCTGCTGGGGATCAAGCCCACAACCTGGGCATGTGCCCTGACTGGGAATCAAACTGGGATCTCCTGGATCCTAGGTCAATGCTCAACCACTGAGCCGTGCGGGCCAGGCATGACAGGGCTTTTTAAGCAAAACTCCAAACAGTACCTAAATTATAAAATGGAAAGAGAATGCCCCACTTCACTCCCAAAGAAAGGAGAGTAATTAATACCTAGAAATAAATTTCTCTAGCATGTCAGCCCCAGCAGGGTAGGTTTTCCTATCTGTCCTGTTCACTGCTGTGTCAGCCAGTATTGGGCAAACAGTGAGTGCTTAATATATGTTGTAAACATTTTTCAATTTTTTGGATTATACCCATTTTCAAAGTAACATGTTTTAATTTGGGATATTTTAGATTTACAGAAAGGTTGCAAAAAATAGTGCAAAGTGTTTTGATATGCTTCTCACTGTTTCCCCTATAGCCATAGCCACCTGTAACTACTAAGAAATTATGTTTCTGCCCAGCCAGCGTGGCTTAGTGGTTGAGCATACATCTATGATCCAAGAGACCGAGGTTCTGCTCCTGGTCAGGGCGCATGCCCAGGTTTCCGCTCGATCCCCAGTGGGGGGGTGCAGGAGGCAGCTGATCAATGACTCTCTCATCATTGATGTTTCTGTCTCTCTCTCTCCCTCTCCTTTCCTTTCTCTGAAATCAATAAAAACATATTTTAAAGAAAAAGAAATTATGTTTCTTAGTTGTGTTACAATTCACAAAACTCCAGGCTTTATTTGGGTGTCACCATTTTTTGCACCAATGTCCCCTTTCTGCCCTAGGATCCCACATTTCATGTCTGCTGGGTCACATCCAGTCTGTGAGACTGCCTCAAACTTTTTTCTTTTTCATGCCTGGNGTCCTCATGTCTGCTGGGTCACATCCAGTCTGTGAGACTGCCTCAAACTTTTTTCTTTTTCATGCCTGGGACATTTTTGCAGAGCAATGATCAGGTCTACTGTAGAATATCCCTCAATTTGGGTGTATCTGATATTGTTCTCATCATTAGCCAGTGGTTACCGGTTGCTGGAAGAAATCCACAAAGGTGAGGGGCCCTTCTCACTACATTATATCAGGGCCACGTGGTACCAGGTCGACTTACCACTAGGATGTTAGCCAGGACCATCTGGTTAAGGTGGTGTCTGCCAGGTGTCTCCACTGTAAAGTTCCCATCTTTTTTTTTTTGGTCCATACTTTATTCATTGGATGAGAGTCAATAACTCTTTTGAGCCCTGTCCACACTCAAAAGGAGGCTGGAAGAACTGAGTTCCAGCTCCTGGAGGAGCCTTTCAACTTACATGATTTGGAATTCTTTCTAAGGAAGATCTGACTCATTTCCCCTCACACCCATTTTAAAGACCAGGAGACTGAGGTTGAAGACTGCCTCACTGGAGGGTAGCCCAGCCCAGGGTGAGGCCCTATCCAGCGCTGGACCGACGCTGTGGTGCCCCAAGTGTGAAGGCAGGTGGCGACTCTGGGCCTGCGTCGGGGAAGGGGAGGAAATCGGGCGCCCCAAGCCGCCGTCGGGGGCCCCAATCGCCGTGGATGGGCTGCCTGCGGGAGGCGGGGCTGCGCCGGGTGGCGGAGCAGGATTCCGGGGCGTGGCCAGCCGGGCCAGGTTGGGAGCGCGGGCCCCAGAGGTCACCTGGCCTGGCCCCCCGGCCCGCGGGCAGGGTGGCCGGGCTCAGCCACCTGAGAGCTGGGCCGCCCCGGACTGCGAGCGCCTCGCTCTCCTGCAGCTCGGCTCCCCCGGCGCCTGGCGTCGACCTTGACCC